TGTATTACTATTCTTAGTTGCAGTATGTAAATTGTAATTTTCTGCCACCAGGTTCTATACCTACCTGCAGAAATTATCTATCTATCTATCTATCTATCTATCTATCTATCTATCTATCTATCTATCTATCTATCTATTTATTCAATTGGCTATTAGGAAATCGGGTCACCGGTTCTCTTCTGCTTTAAACTTTCTACTTTGCTTCCCCGGATGATCCCACTTTCTGTAGAACGTATTTCTATCCCTTCCCTATTCTTAATCATCATCTACGTGTTCCTATCCAACAATTTCATGCTATTTCCTTGACTTTACTAATTACTTTCTTCATATTGAATTGCTCTACTGAGGTAATTCTCATTTCCACATGTGTGCTTTTAAAGGTATGCCTAGGGTACATGCTTCTTTTTAATTTTCCAAATGCTTAATTTTTCTTTTTATAACTTAAAATTGAAAATTTATTATAAATATTTGTAATATAAAATACACATTTAATGAACAGTTTACTTTCATACATAACTCAGAAACAGGAAAGCAACATGCTGAAAATGAACCGTAATATATTGAAAATTGTATTTATTTAGCTCTCATAAAGTGCTTGTGAATTTGCGTCCTCAGTTACATTAACACAAATTTTAATCACTCATATTTAAATACACATTTTACAATGCGTTTACATATTTTGTAACAACAACACATTCATCAAATTAAAATTCCTGTCATTTATTCGAACCCGGTTTCTTTCGATCCGGAAGGCTTAATCCGTACACCCCTTAACCATCCCGGCCATCCGAATCGAATATGGGTGTATACTTCTATATAATTCAAGAGACAATTGTATCAGTTCTAAAATTAGGGTGACGAGAAAGAGAGAAAATATGAAAAAAATGTATTTTGGGCGACAAAATGAGATAGCCGTGAAGATAATAAGGCCTACTCGAAAAGCTAGCTCAGACTAAGCAGATTAGATAACTTATTAGTGCGAGAAAGTATGTGCTGTTTTTTAGTACCACTAGTTTATTTATTTACCGTACGCTGTTACATACGAGGGGAAACTTAAATGAAAATGTTTCGTGCGGATTTAGAGAAAATTAAATTTTTAGAAATTGCTTTCATTTCAGACTCAAGAAAAATCAGCTGCTTCTTTTCAAAACTTTTACATGACCTCTTTTAAAAGGCTGATTTTTTACGACAGACTTTTTTTTAAAAAAAATTGCTATCTCCAATTTTGTAAGTTTGAAATGTTCATTTGTTGGCATTTTCTTAAAACCGGAAAAGCCATAAATGGAAGAAGAACCATATTTTTAGCCGTCCCATATTATACATGAGGCGCAAATTTAAAGAGTTTAGAGAGTTTTTGAGAAAATTGCCTATATTTCGCGCGAAATTACAGAAATTACTCATATTTACGAAAAAAAATAATGTGAACTTTTTTAAGGATCGGTCTTTAAGGAATAGATTCCATTAAAGAAACTAGTGGTGCTAGAACAGCACATATTTTCGCCGTTATAGGAAGCACCTAGGTAATATTAAAATATTGCATTTTCAGCCCTACTAACACATCAGCTATACGTGCGTGCACACTGCAATGATTTAGTTTTCTAAAGGATTTTGCACAATATTTAATCTCGGCCATTAGCTAGCATCCTAATTGAGGTTTACCTGGGATTACACAAACCTCTTCAGGCGTATGCCTATATGGACCCTATCTTGCAGTTCCATAGGTAAAAATTGTTGAAAATTGTTGGCTTACTGGTGAGGCCAGTGTGGTCAAGATTTCAAGCTTTGGGAGTAATATAAAAGTACCAAAAATTTCCTGAATTGAAATGCTCATATCCTGTTATTTTTCACTTTTTAAAATTTAAAATCCGATTAAATTATATTACATTAATAATAATAATAATTACAACACTATTAATTACGAAATACTCATAAATCATTTACCATTATTTTTCAGTATATTCCATTTCCCACAAAACTTGAGTCTGTGCGTTGATTGTTTTCGCTTGTATGCTGACAAGGCACCCTCTTTTTGTTTTCCCGTGTACGTACGTATATACAGAGTAATGTACGTAGTGTAGGAAAAGATGTGTAATCCTGCAGAAAATCAATTTCGAGATTTCAACGGATATACCCCTGTTTGGGGTCACCGGATACAAAAAAAGAGTATTTTTTCAAAACATCTGTCTGTCCGTCCGTCTGATGCCTGTGAACACTACTAACGCCTAAACCATGCGTAGGATTTTTTTTTAATTGAAGAAACCACTGTCCATCTGGCTCGAGTCGAAACTTTGAGATTTTGCAATGTATTAAATAGTATGCAAAACTCTAGTGTCATGTTATAAATAATTTCATTAGACATGTTCTTAAATGATTCTTCTGTTTACATTAAATAAGTCGTTTATACTTAACTGTGGTTTATCGATTTAAAAAAATGATATATTTACTTGTACAATGAGGTGGTGTGCGAAACAATGTATGTTCGAATCGATACTAACTTTCAAGTCGCAAAACAAAAGGCCTAGATGTGCTGACGTCACAGATATAGTTAGGCTTGTAGTAATAGAAAGATTTTCTGGACTCACCTACATGGCGGGGGTGGCTGCAATTTTGTGACGTCAAGCCATATCCCTGTATTCATATTCATGAGTAAGTGCGAATGGAATTTTGAGGAAACTTAGCGGAAAAGATGTTATAAAACTCTGCAGAATTGCAATAATTTTGGTAGTTTAATTTACAAACTGTGAATTAAATACGTGAAAAAACTTGAAAGATTAACGATTTTTTGTGAGAAATAGGTTGGCGACCAGTTAAAGTGAACAATGGCGTTCTTTTGTTGTAAAAAGTTAGAAGAGGTGAAAACGTAGAAGAGAGGTCTAAAGGTTGGCCGAGGTAACAAGTAGGGTAACAAGCATGCAGTGTTAAATGGTGCAAATGGCGGGCGTTCTAATGTACGGAAGATACAGATATGAATATGCAATGAATTGAAACATGTTTTTTTCTAATAGAATGGAGTGGAGCTGGTGAATAGGAATAGCAATAACCAGTAAAATATCGAAAGTTAATTAGTAGAATTTCTTTTTTATTAATTCAAAAGTCGGCTAGAGTTGTTCACAATCGTGAGATATATCAGATGATTGTTGGAGAAAATCATTATAAAATATTCTCAGCTTTTCATGTCATAATTTTCATGTTACAGTATTAGCAGGAAAATAAATGAAAATGTTATTTTATATATAACTTAAGACAATAATTAATTTAAATATATTTATAATTTATTAAATAATCAATTAATAAAAATAATAAAATATACTTATTTTTTGTTTCATTTAAATGAAATGTTGCTTTTTATTGACGTCTTTCCTCATCTTTTCTTAATATATTGTCATCATTTATAAGTTGAATATTAATTTATTATCTACATTTTCGTCTAGCAGCAAGCATATGTAGTTGAATAGTTAATTCACACATCCTTTGAAAATTCTCAATGATTTTGCTCAATTGATCAAACTGTACTCATTGTTGACTTCAACCACTTTGAATAAGAAACTTCAAACACTGAAGTCATAGAACAAAAAGAACTACTGAGTGCAGAAGTTGAAATTGCAAAGGGTGGATCGTCGATATGCAAATGATCTGCTCATAAATAGAAAAATTGTAAATGTGTTACTTTACTTTCATCCATAAAATATTATATTAAAAATAATTTAAGATAATAATTTATTAATATTTATAATTAATTAATATACTCAATAATTTGTTTCATTTAAATGAAATGTTGCCTTTTATTGACGTCTTGCTTGTTCGTTTTCCTAATATATTCTCATCATTTATAAGTTGATTATTAATTTACTTTCTATATTTTCATTTATCAGCAATCATATTTGAGTTGACTACGTAATTAAAAAATCCTTTAGAATTTTCAATGATCTTGTACAATTGATAAAACTGTACTCAATGACTTTGACTACAACCACTTTGAATAAGAAACTCTGAACACTTAAGCCATAGCACAAAAGGACTACAACGTGCACGAGTTAATATAGCAAAGGGCGCGTCGTTGATATGTTAAAGATCTGCTGATATATAGAAAAATTGTAAATGTGCTACTTTACTTACATCCATGAAAGATTTTTGATGTCTACCTACAAGGAACAACCATAACAAACAACCAAGACCGTCGCAAGAAATAGCATGAAAAGAAGTAACTAAGACGTCAATAACTAAAAGATGACTTATTGTAAAAATTGTTTTTAGAATAGTGATGATTTCATTTTCTTCGTCTTCCGGAGACATGAAAGAGACACAGCTTGGAAGGAATTGTTTCTGACACAAAATGCACCACATTTTATTGAGTTGGTATCCTTGTGAGAGGTGTAGCTTCTTCCCATACGAAAGCTGGCAGTTCATGGTTCTTGATGACCTGAAACATCCGACCTTGATCAGACCAAGAAAATTCTCAAATTTGTGCAATTGGTATCCCATAAATATGATGGAGATGTCAATATATTGGGAAACTCTTTGAGAGAAAAGGTAGGGAATACCTGTCAATAGGAGCAGTATTCCCTAATTATTATTCTCACACCACGTAGTTAAAAATGAATACCAAATGCCCAGTTCAATATGCCCTAACACACACACAACAAATTGTACATACGTACTATAAAAATTGTTTAAATTGTCAAATGTTTGAATAATCAACTAAGTTCATTAATTTCTAATTAAAAATGTACATTACTTAAAACTATTTACAAACAAATATCTGATGCGAGAAGAAACACGAACAAAAAAGTTATTGAGGGGAGGGACACATCCAACCAAACAGGTACACTTACAGGTTGTTACAAAGGTATTCAGACAGCAAGGTGGACGGTTTAAAAAATATTAGAAAATGGACGACACGCTCAACAGATAGTAATTAAACAAATTAATAATTTCAAATAATTTAGTATAATTTCTTACCTTGAGTTCGATCTTGTCAGGATCTTCATTTTGTTGGATAGATCGGTACGATCTTTTAGTGCGGAAGAAAACGACCAAAGCCGTTCCGACCCCGATTCCCGCGACGACCCCGCCAATCGCTCCCAAGAGGACGCTCCGCGACGAGAACTGCGAGAGGCGGTCCACTTGCACCTCCTCCACCTCGACGGAGCTGAGGGGCAGGTCGTCGGGCTCGCCATCAGCGGGGGCATCATCGGCAGCGACATCGTCGCCGGCAGCGCCGTCGTAGTCGTTGTCGTCGACATTGTCGCTGGCTGCGTCGCGGGCGCCGCCGCCGGGTGAGGACGGCTCCTGCTCAACTGCAGACTCATGCTCCCCGTCTGCGCCCTCAGCCTCCGCCTCGCCGGAGGCCCCTGCCGCGGGGGGGTCGTGTTGGTCCTCCTCCTGCGGGGCCGAGTCGGGTAGGTCGCCGGCGTCGCCCCCGTCTTCCTCTTCCGGGGCCGAGTCGGGTACGTGGCCGGCGTCGCCCCCGTCTTCCACTTCCGGGGCCGACGACAGGTCGTCGCCGTGGTTCCTGCCGCTTCTCCGCCGCGCCGCGCCGCTTTGAGTGCAGGCGGTAGTGAAGAACTCGCGTCGGGCCTCGTGCTTCTGGCACTCGTCTCCATGAAGAAGTCGGCAACCGGCTCCTGCTGCTGCCACTGTGTCAGTTGTCTTCTCCGACCTAGCGTCGGTGCCCAACGTGGAGCAAATGGGATTGTCTTCAAGGAAAAGAATGTCATGTTTCTCTTCGAACGCTTGCCACAAATTATCGGCTTTTTCATTATCCTCGATTTTATTTTTGCTCAAAACGAGTTTTTTGAGGTGTTTGAGGTTCACGAAAGAGTCTTGGTCGACTTCCGAAATATCGTTGTTACTGACATCTATCGTCTCCAGTTGAGTTAAGTGACTGAATGTATCTTTACGAATTTGTGTAATTTTGTTTCCTTGCAAAGATAAATTGTTGAGCCCGGTGTTGTTGGCAAACATGTATTTGATGTTATCAGCAATATTAGAATGTGTGATTTGCAGATCTTTCAATTCTTTCAAATCTGATAGAAGATGTTGGTATGTGGTAAGCGGGAGTGTACTGTTGTTAATGTGGAGTGTAGAGAGACTCTGAAAGCGCGCGAAATCGTCGGAAGTAAGAGCGGTGAGATCACAATTCACAATGTAAAGAGCGCGGATATTGGGGTTATACTCTGGTCGTATGAATCGACCGACCATTCCCGCGCAGAATCCTGATGTACCTGTGAATGTACATTCCGGCACAATTGCTTCTGTAGTGCCCAGGCGAGCGAAGATAGTAACTATGGTGAATAATGAGAGTCGAATGAAAATTGTCATATCTAAAGAAATAAATTCTTTTGCGAGATAAACTAATGTTTATCACGCAAAATAAGATATTCTTTAGCTGAGAGTTCTCCTCGGAAATTTAACTTGTACTTTCTCTTGGAACGATCTCACTCTGA